TATTTATATTGAATATTTATAGAATGTTCTGGAAAATTCCATTGTCTATAACAATAACAGTCTCCAACACATGTAACAACTAATAAAAATAACTTTTGTTTCATTTGGAATAAAAAAATCAGCTACCGATGTCGGCTTTATTATTTAGTATTATTTATCAATTTACGTTTTCTAAGTTTCTGGGCGATATACAGTAGCTGATGGGGGCCCTTAACTGTCGGGGGCCCTTAGTTTTTAAACTAACCCTACCCAATGAGCGTTACGCCACTGATTGCAAGACTTTCAGAAAGCAAGAAAAGTTGATGGGGTTAAATAAGTAAAATCCTGGCTCGATCCTGGATCTTTTAAGTAGCTAGATCTTGCTTAAGTGGGCCAACCCAGTTCCCAAATACAAATATGCAGTAGGAAATATTAAGGGAATATACAGTGTGTGCATCTTGCCAAAATTGCATGGGGAAGCTTGGGTACCAGGCTTGCTCCTTAAAGCTCCTTATATAGCTTGCTCCTTAAAGCTCCTTGCTTTGATCAACCTTGCTGGAATTAAACTGTGTTACTCTCAGTTTTAAGGAAACTAAGTTTTGTTCTAATATTATCAAAAAAGGCATTTGCTTGGTCTTTGAAAAAGGCACGAATAAAGACATTCCTTTAAATTTGCCTTTTTTACGTTTGAATTTTTTGCCTCTGGTGTCATAATATGCACCCAGGTGAAGATATATGTTTGTGATTAATTTGTTGTCTCTGAATATGCATCCACAGTTGGCAAGTGTTGTTGACAAAGTTGTTGGAACACAGCATTGTCACAACTTGTTAACAAGCTTGCTTTGTAGCACGCTTGTTAACAAAGTTGTGACAATGCTGTTCTCGTTGCTTACAAACCCTGTTGTAAAAAGTGTTTGTTGACAAGTTGTTGGAACAGCATTGCCACAACTTTGTTAACAAGCTCAGGGGCATAGGAAGCTTCTTAAATTTGGGGGGGGGAGGCAGGCTTTGAGGGGCACTTTTCGGAAAAAAAGATTCTTAAAAATTTTTTCCCGGAAATGTTGGCGACGGGGGTGAGGTCATCTCCAAAAAATTTTTCGGACATACCAAAAAAACTTTCCGGATAAACCACATTTTTTCCTATAAGTACGAAAAAAATTTCCGGACATACCCAAAAATTTTCCGGATATATGATATTTTTCTCCAAAATGACAAAAAAATTTTCGGAAATAACATAGATTCAAGTTTTCAAAAGTGCCCTTTGGGCAAAAAAGGGCACTTTGCTCCTGGAAAAAGGGCACTTGGCAAAACTTGGGGGGCCTGCCATCTTGTTGACAAAGTTGTTGGGAATTATTATCAACAACTTGTTAACAAGCTTGCTACAAATCTTATAGCAAACACACCTTGTTGATAAGTTGTTGGGGCAGCATTGCCACAACTTGTTAGGAATCTTGCTACTAGCCTGCTGAGGAATATAATATTGTTGGAACAGCATTGTTATAACTTGTTAACAAGCGTGCTTCAAGCCTGTTGACAACACATCTTTTGTTGACAATTTCTTGGGACATTATTATCACAACTTGTTAACAAGCTTGCTACAAGCCTATAGCAAACAGATTTTGCTGACAAGTTGTTGGGACAGCATTATCACAGCTTGTTAACAAGCTGGCTACGAGCCTGTTGAGGAGTCATATTGTTGAGAAGCTTGCCTTCGAAGACCTCTGCGTTTGCCATCAATGGGCCTTTGCGATCGAAGCGTGTTTGCAATCGAGGGACCTTTAGCATCGTTGCGCCATTGCCATCTAAGGGCCTTTGGCTTCAAAGCGCCCTGCCTTTTCCCTCTAAATGTCTTCAAGCCAAGACTCTACATATGATGCTTCGAACTACTCCATCGCTTTAACCGCTGCGACATCCTCCGACCTATATATAGACTCTCTGGCAATGCAACATCCACCGACTAAGCCGTACGAAGACTCGAGTGATTGTGAGAAATGAGGATGTTTGCTTGTTACAGTCGCACAACTCACTCCTTGTCTTCGAAGGCCTCTGCGTTTGTCCTTGACTTTGCCATCGAAGGGCCATTGGCTTCAACGCGCCCTTGCCTTGAAGTGTCTTTTACTTCATGCCAACGCTCCGCATATAATGCTTCAAACTACTCCATCGCTTTAACCGCTGCAACATCATCCGGCCGAGACTTTCTGGTAATGCAACATCCACCGACCAAGCCGTACCAAGGCTCGAGTGATTGTGAGAAAAGAGGATGTTTGCTTGTTCCAGTCGTGTAATTGACTCCTTGCCTTCGAAGACCTCTGCGTTTGCCATCAATGGGCCTTTGCGATCGAAGCGCGTTTGGCATTGAAGGGCGATGCCGTCGAAGGAGCTTTAGCATCGATGCGCCATTGCCATCCAAGGACCTTTGATTTAAAAGTGCCCTTGCCTTTGCTTTCGAGGTGTCTTTTTTCTTTCAAGCCAACACTCCACATATAATGCTCCAAACTACAGTACTCCATCGCTTTAACCGCTACAACATCCTCCGACCTAGATTCTTTGGTAATGCAACATTCACCGACCAAGCCGTGAATGATTGTGAGAAAAGAGGATGTGTGCTTGTTACAGTTGTACAAATTTACTCTTTGCCTTCGAAGGCCTCTGCGTTTGTCATCGAAGAGCTTTTGACTTCAAAGCGCCCTTGCTTTTGCCTTCGAAGTGTCTTTTCCTTCAAGCCAACGCTCCACGTATAATGCTTCAAACTTCGACTGTTACAGTCGTACAATTCACTCCTTGCCTTCCGTGTTTGCCGTCGATGAGCCTTTGCCATCCAAGCGCGTTTGACATTGAAGGGCCATTGCCATCCAAGGGTCTTTTTCAGTGTCAAGCAAACGCTCCGCATATAATGCTTCAAACTACCCCATCGCTTTAACCGCTGCAACATCCTCCGACCCAGCCGTACCAAAACTCGACTGATTGTGAGAAAAGAGGGTCTTTGCTTGTTCCAGTCGTACAATTCAATCCTTTACATTGAAGTGTCTTTTCCTTCATGCGAACGCTACGCATATAATGCTTGAAACTACTCCATCGCTTTAACCGCTGCAACTTCCTCCGACCTACAATCGTGGACAAAACATCTGCGATTCTTCCAATTATTTGGCAAAATGTCGTAATATTATCCCCACCACCATTCAATGTTGATTGCATTCGTGGAATACGAATAAAACGTCCAACATTGTTTTTGGGGGTGGAGGGGAGCAAACGAGTAAATTATTCCGGTCTATCTGGTAAACAAAGCCACAAAGCAATGTTTTAATAGAGTGTCGCAGATGGTTTTGTGCAGTTTTATGCAGGACTTTCTCTTTCCGTAGTAAATATGGCTCACTAGAATGTATTAGGCTTCAAGAAGCATATCGCACATGGTCGACAAGGTAATATAACGCAACGCCTTCTTTCGATAGTTTGTATACAATGCGATTAAGAATTACATCTATGAATTATAGTACCTAGGTGTAGAACTGAACTTTTTCGAACAGTTTCATTCCTGTTGCGTCTCGTGCTTAGTATAGGCAATCATGCGTTGGCGAGTACAATTAGGGATTAATAGTACGAGTAATGGAGCAACATCGCATGATTACTTGTTTATTATTAGCATGACAAAATTGGATACTTATCAATGTCAACATCATATTCTCTCGCGAAAGTTCAGTCCTGCCAGACTTTGAACCAAAATTTGGTGCTTTTGTTTGTATTTTCATTTAGTTCTTTTGTTCAAGCAAAATTTGGTGCTTTTTCGTTCGTATTCTCATCTAGTTCCTCCACGGCAATTTCATTTCACATTTGTGTTCAAAATACCTTTCCGCCATTTTGTTTCTTTTGGGAAAATCATTAATTGTACTGCAGTACAATTAATGAAATAATTGTACTCTCAACCAATCAGCATCCAGTAATTTTGTCATGCTAATAATAATAATAAGTAACCTTTAGTTTATTATCGTAATTTTTGTCTAACTTACCTATTTTTACTTGTAAATATAGAATAGATTGAATACCTATGTTCTTGTACCTTGTAATTCCAAAGTAATTCAGTTGTTACTGCTAGTTTGGAAATTTATAATAATAATAATGATAATGCGACGACTTTCACGCATTTAATATACGTCGGAGTCATCTTGTTGAGAAGTTGTTGGAACAACATTGTCACAACTTGTTAACACACTTGCTGCAAACCTATTGCAAACACACCTTGTTGACAAGTTGTTGGAACAGCATTGTCACAGATTGTTAGGAATCTTGCTACGAGCCTGTTGAGGAGTAATATTGTTGACAAGTTGTTGGAACAGCATTGTTATAACTTGTTAACAAGCGTGCTTCAAGCCTGTTGAGAACACATCTTGTTGACAAGTTGTTGGGACATTATTATCACGACTTGTTAACAAGCTTGCTACAAACCTAAAGCGAACACACCTTGTTGACAAAGTTGTTGGGACAGCATTGTCACAGCTTGTTAACAATCTTGCTACGAGCCTGTTGAGGAGTCATATTGTTGACAAGTTGTTGGAACTTGGAACAGCATTGTCGCAACTTGTTAACAAGCTTGCTACAAACCTATTGCAAACATCTTTTTGACAAGTTGTTGGAACAGCATTGTCACAACTTATTAACAAGCTTGCTACAAACCTATTGCAAACACATCTTGTTGACAAGGTTGGTGGAACAGAATTATCACAACTTGTTAACAAGCTTGCTTTGTAGCACGCTTGTTAACAAGTTGTGACAATGCTGTTCTCGTTGCCACAAACCTGTTGCGAAAAGTGTTGTTGACAAGTTGTTGGAACAGCATTGCCGCAACTTGTTAACAACCTTGCTACAAACCTGTTGGAAAAAGTGTTGTTGACAAGTTGTTGCAACAGCATTGTCACAACTTGTTAACAAGCTTGCTTTGTAGCACGCATGGTGACAAGTTGTGACAATGCTGTTCCAACAACTTGTCAACAACATGTATTTGCAATTCTGTAGGTTTTTAGCAAGCTTGTTGACAACTTGTTAATGAGCTTGCTACAAACCTGTTGGGAAAGGTTGTTGACAAGTTGTTGGAACAGCATTGGCACAACTTGCTAGCAAGCTTAAGCTACAAGACAGTGGAGAACAAGTTGTTGGAAGAGCATGTTGTCACAACTTGTTAACAAACTTGCTACAAACCTGTTGCGAAAACTGTTGTTGACAAGTTGTTGGAACAGCATTGTGACAACTTGTTAACAAGCTTGCTACAAACATTCAGTATTGCACATTGTAACAACTTGACAACAAACTTGCTACTGTGCAAACCTGTTGCAAACACATCTTGTTGACAAGTTTTTGGAACAGCATTGTCATAACTTTTAACAAGCTTGCTATGAACATATACAGTATTGCAAACACATCTTCTTGAATAGTTGTTGGAAGAGCATTGTCACTATCCTGTTGCGAAAAATCGCGTTGACAAGTTCTTGGAACAGCATTGTCTCAACTTGTTAACAAGCTTGCTACATGCCCGTTGAGGAGGCATCTTGTTGACAATTTGTTGGAACAGCATTGTCACAACTGAAATTGTTAAAGCTTGCTACAAACCTATTGCAAACATGTCTTCTTGAAAAGTTGTTGGTACAGCATTGTCACAACTTTGGGTCAGGTAATTTCAAAATATGGGGCAAGTTTTTGGGTGCCCCCCAATCTCCCTAATTTGTTTCCCTCCCAAATGCCTACGAGCATTGTGCGGGTTTCCTAGTTGGAAAACTAATTCTGCGAAGGTCATTCTTATTTGGTACTACTAAAACAAATATATCCCTAAAATTAATAGGAAAGAAACATTTGAAGTTTTTATGATCACTAAACATTCAGGAATATTGCATCGTCATGCTAATGTTTGATGGAGTCCATGCCAACGGCAGAGTAAATTTGCCGATCAAGATATATGCATATTTGGCCGGTCATGTTTTGATTTTCTTATTTGCATCGATTTAA